AAAGAAAATGAAAATTTAAAATTAAAAAAAATAAAAATCTATAAATAGATCAAGGTCTGTTTTTAGGGGGGTAATTAAATAATTCATAAAACGTTATTTTGTAACCGATTGCAATCCCCGTAATGTAACAACACTCTTCCCGCTTCCTTCCTCCATCTAAAGTATTCTAGTCAGCCTTGCTTCGTAGCCAGGCCTGCATTCTGAGATTTATTCCTGGGCAAAGGCTGCCCTGTGGATCTCACTGGGTGGATTGTTCTGAGGAGTCTTTCTCTCAATGGTGTTACTGTTTGCCCAATCGGCCTGTCGTTTGGTTGAAAGTGGAGCCATTGGGAGAAGTTCAGTTCCAGGTCTGAAGAGTGCACTGCAAAGGCTCACCGTCTCAGGGAGCTTAGCAATCTCTGTTAGACCAGTAAGCCTGCTCTTTTTTATGATTTTCAGTTTTGTTCTGCATTTTTCTCCCACTCTGTTCAGGACTCTCCATTGTGATCCCCTATGGCAGACAGGCACCATCTGGTCTCAGGGTCTGGTGGGAGGGTGGGAGCTGAGGTTCCCGCGGTCCATTAAGCCTTGGGACTAATTTTCCCACATGTCTTTGTCTTCACTCTTCTTGGTTTCAGATGGGAAGAGACCAATAGTTGCATTGAAATGGCCATACACAAGCCTTTAAGATCCAGTTGATACTCACCAAAGTAGAATGCAGAACATTGTCTTTGTGGACTGTATTGTTTGTGTTTTTTTAATCTTTTTATTGGGGGGTTCATATAACTCATCACAATCCATACATACATCAATTGTAGAAAGCACATTTGCACATTCATTGCCCTCATCATTCTCAAAACATTTGCTCTCCACTTAAGCCCTTGGTATCAGCTCCTCATTTCCCTCCCTTCCTCCCCACTCCCCTCTCCCTCACAAGGTCTGTTTTTTGACCTCTAGGTGTGTCCTCCAGTCAAGTCCGATGGGGTGCCACACTTTGATCCCAAAGTCTATCCTTTGCACTCCCTCAGGAGCTCCCTGCTCTGGTCCACCGGTTTCTCTGCCACACGCCCTTAGTGTTTTACCTCGGTGTGGTGGAGTCAGATGGGCCAGTCCCTACACTGAGTCTCCAGTGTTGTCCCCCATAGAGCCATGGGTCAGCAAGGGATGCCCTGTCTCATGGTGGGATCAGCCATATGGTCCACTCTGTGCATTGGCTATTCAGAACAGGGATATCGTCCTCCAGGTTTGGTGAGCCAGGATGTGCTCCAATCTCTTCCTCCCCATTCAGTTGCTCCCATGTGCTCTGATCAGACATGTTCCTCTCCCTGAGATGCAGCTTCAGTGCTGTCCTCTAAAGTAAATTCTTCCAGGGAAGGGACAGTTGTGCACATAGCTGGTATTGGGACTGAGTCCTCAGTCCCCTCCACTGGCTCCCCTCTCCATGCCAGCATATTGCATTTGCTTCCCGGAACACTGGATTTAAGTCTGGTCCATCTTCCCTGTGGAGATATAAACAATACCCTCCCCTTGGGTGGGTTAGTGCCCTATTGC